AGCAAGGCGATAGCTGTCTTTGATAAAGATGAACCTGACCCTCAATTTATTAGCAAGAGAAGGGAATGTGTCATTATTTTGTGGGTCACATGGTGACCTTGCTTCTATCTGTACTTAGACAAAATTATGAAATGGTCTTGTTTGTCTTACTTTATCATGGCCTACAAATGACCATGTCTGGTGTCAGTGTTTTATGAGATTGTTTACGTCCAAGGGCAGGCACCATGGCCCAGCCAGCTCCTAACAACTCTGCGGCCCACCTGTAAGTGTCCGACAGGCTCCCAGTGTCGGGGGCTTCTCTCCTCTCTCTCAGTTCTTAGCCTCATCATGACCTCGGTGTAAAGATCTAAACATTTTCTTAGGTATAGTACAGATCATAGAGAGTTGCTACAGCTGCAGCAAGGTAGACAGGATTCTATCCGGGATCACGATGGTGAGGTCAGAGGTCATATCTTGGGATATAGCAAAGGAAGAGCATGCTAACGGGATGTGGGAAAAGGAGACAGTATATTTCATGCAAGCTACTGTGCTCAAAGATAAGGTGATGCGCATATCAGAACCCTCCGCGTGCATGTTAAACGCCAGAATTCTCTTCATCCTAGTAAATATGATAAAGCTTTCTGGTTACTAAAAGATGAAAGTTGTCTGCTGTACTTATCCAAGAATCTAAATGCAATTAGGCGTTCATTAGCGAGCTAAATGTCTTCATATCTTTGCAGGTGCACTTTTTTCTTTATAGCTGTTGAATTGCTTTTAAAATCCTGACCATTAAGTCTTCTCTTAGATTCGGTTTCCAGCAGATACTATCAGAGCGCTGATACCGTCGAGTCTGAGTTTCACAGAAGGAAGAGATACCAGCTGTGTCTTTTAGGCCACGCGGACCAGAAATGCAGCCCACAGATAGGGCATATGTAAAAGAAAGGAAGGAAAGAAATAAAAAAAAGAACAGTATCCAAAATTCTTATAAAATTTCCTTTTAAAAATATTTCATTTGGAAGAAGTCTAAACTTTTCTTTCATAGTCTGGATGATCTAACTGCGTTACCAGCCCAATGGTGGAGAAGACTCGGCACACATGCATGGTTGGCAACTTGGCCCCCGTCTAGTCCGTGACAACTGATGAGCATCTAAGGTGACTCGTGATAATAAAACACTGGTATTTGTATTTTCACATAAAAATTTCCTAATGCCTTATACTTTACACTCCTTTAATATAATAGTAACTTCGGGTACATTCCAGAACGGCGAGTTAATTCCCTTCAACCAACAAGATTTGAGTAATCACTCAAGCATATTAGGCAGAGGCCAAGGTCAGTGAACTACGGGAAACCACCTCCCTTCTTACCAGGGACTTATTCTGAGATCGGTCGCCATCCAGATGGCATCTACAGATGCCACCATCGTATCAAGAACACATGAAACCCCTTGCTCTCACCTACGAGGGAATGGCATGATGTCCCCAGCCACTCCGCACACTGTGGCACTGCTGCCCACGATTTTTGTGGGGCTCCAAGTTCTCGCCCTCTCCAGTCTGCGGGAGGTTTCAATTTGCAGTTTTTTTTAGAGTACGTGTGGCCTGTTGTTTAACACCGCCACGGAAAGAACATTTCAGCACTTACTCAGAGCTGATGTTTTATTATTTGATATTAAAATCCCATTAGAAATCTCTAACCTGATAAGCTAAAAATGCGGTTTGAAAATAAAGCACCTGGCGAATCTGATTTGCACTCATCCCAATGGCATTTTGTCAGCCGGGACCTAATTATCAACCTGACATGATTTCAATCTGCTGCCATTTTATAAAGTGGGATTCGTTCGCTCTCTGTGAAGACGATCATGCTTGCTGTTCTTCAGCGAGACACCCAATTTCACCTATTCTCATGAGATTCTTCTATTATGCAAACTAGTGGTAAAGCAATTACATGCTCCAAAAGATTAAGACTAGAAATTTCGCATTCAGCGAATTGTCATTTTCACCTCTTAAAATGCAAATTCTTGCCAGATGTTAAGATGCCTTTTCTATTTCGCACAATGTCACCTAATGATCTGAGGCAGCAACCCCTCTGAAGGCAGTTTCGTCTCCCAAATTCAAGGGGAAGGAGAGAGATGCAACACAGCTCCAAGACCCTACTCTGAGGGCCTGCCTAATAAACGAAGATGGCATAGACTGGAATATTTGTTTCTTCGGGCTTTTCAAGGCCACTGAGAGGCTGAACATTGGCTGTTCCCAAGCCAAATGTTTCAGATGGATGCGAAAGAAGTTTGAGCAGAAAACAGGAGAGAACAACGTGAAACTTACATGGGAGCGAGTTCACCCCTCTGCGGCTTGAGGTAAAATCTGCATGGATGGAAAGGAAGGGGAATCGCTTAGGACCCCAGGCCGGGAAATGTGCTACCCGCCTCACACGTGACAGAGGGACAGGCCAACAATTCGTCTCGGATCTAGTCTGCGGTTCCAACTGCAGGTGAACGGACAAGCATCTAAGCCATTATCTATGAAAATAGAAACCGAGGCCCGGAAGTGTCCTGTAGATCGCCTGTCGTGACAGTCAACGAGTGGGGATCTCACAGATGAGACCCTTGTGCCACCCCTGGCTACTCGTCCCAGCACAGAGAGAGAGAAACCTAAGAATACTTCCTACTTAGAACTATGTCGGCCTCCTCACGCATGTTGAAAACCTCTCTTTGATATTAAGTAACACCTTAATGATGTTAAAGCGAATGAAGCAACATTTATCTTTAAATAACTATATTCCATTTAAAAAATAAACCAACTAAATATAAGGGGAAACATGCTATGACTAAGAAAGAAGTCCGAGCAGAAGGAGAGAACAAAGCCAGCTGCCTTCCGGTCTTGAATTATTCGCTGCTTCTCCCAATGGGGCTGCAGCAAAGGAAACAGAACCGGCGGGAGGCAGGTGATGAAGCTTCCGACTCCCCGATTTTGCTTCAGGTCGCTGCCGAGGGGAGGGAGCCATGTGCTATGACACCCAGAGGGGAGCACTGGCAGCAGCGTGCCCTGGGTCATGACATAAGACTTGGTTCTCCCAGAACGACTGCAGCTTGTTTAGTTTGCGAACTCAGGGGTCTTAGCGCCCCAGGTTCCCCGCGGCAGCGGGGCAGCAGGGCATGGCCTCCCTCCTCGGCGCGCCCACCTCCACGGCGCATGCGCTGCAGGGCACGGCGCCGCCGGTCCCATCGCCACCGTGGGTCTTACAGGGAAGGATGGGTGAACTCCAGAAGTGTCTCCTGATGTCATGTGCAGACATGGAGGACCGTCACCTCAAGTTTATTTAAAAAACCAAAAATGTTGCCGTGACAGGTAACGTCATGTGTTAACTTGGTCAAGCCACAGTACCCAAATATTTGGTCAAACGCTAGTCTGGACGTTGCTGTGAAGGTATTTTTTCAGATGACATTAACGTTTTAATCAGCGGACTTTGGGTAAAGTGATTATGCTCCAAAAGGTGGGTGGGCCTCATTTAATCAGTGGAAAGCCTTAAGAGAAAAGACTGAGGTTTCCCAAAGAAGGAGGAATTCAGGCGCAAAACCATAACATAGAAACCCTTTCTGAGTGTCTGGCCTGCCAGCTTGCACTACAGATCTTAAACTTGCCAGTTCTCTGCATGAGCTAATTCTTCCATATGTATTCAATCCTATGATTGCTTAGAAAACCAGAGAGTCGAAATTCTAGATGAAAAAGGCTTTTTAAGGCCCTTCAATGCTTAGTTGCATTTCCCACTAATTCCTTATTTGGCTCGTGAGTATCAGATGTGCCCCTTGAACGTTCTGGGGCAATGGAACCAGGGCACTTGGGTTGGAACCTGGGTTCAGCCCTCTCCTGGGGGGGGGGGGGTGGCCACAGGCACATGACTGGATCGAGTACAAGGTATTTCATACCTCAGTGTAAATGTGGCTCAGCAACATCTACCTTGAGGGGAGGGCACCAAAAGCACCAGACATGTGAAGCACTGAGCTTAAAACCTAGAAGGATTAATGCCCGCCAAATGGCGGCTTGGAGCTATTATCGTTATACAAAAATGACTAATAAAACTTCCATTA